CATTGTAAACGCTTCTTTATGTTGCCTAATGAATCCCATAAGTGAATAAATTAGGTATGCAATTTTAGCAGAAAATAGATTCAAATTTATTCTGGGAACAACTTTAAAGCATAATCGAGCATCTTTTAGTAACTGAATTGGTATGTATGGTTTTATACAATATCCATATCTACATACATATTTTAAATTTCCAAGTACTTACTCATAAGTTACGTTTTTGTCAAATTATTTCATAAGTTTTTAAAAAATAGGAAAAATCTAGTAGTATATTGGCTAAAATTTAATTTCACAGAAATCAAATATTATTCAACTTGTTCACATATTAAGTGGAAACGCTATTAGTCATTCTATAAATTCGCAAGTACAACAAGCTTGTTACGGATCAATTAACTTGAGCTTTAGTTGACCTTAGTAGTTCCAATTAATTGATTCCACTGCTTACAAGTACCTACATTTTACTTATACTAATTTAATCGTTAACTTTTCTTAGCAATTACAGTACACCACGCTCCGCAAACAATGCTCACTTCTGCAACTTTACCTTCGAAGCTTTCGATTTTTCTAAATTCATCACAATAATCCACTTTATGTCCAATACCTAATTGGCCGTGTGCATTCCAGCCAGCCGTACACAATGCGCCACATTTCATTTGCAAAAGCGTATGCCGTGCACCTGCATAAACTCTCACTGGTAGGCATTCGCCAGTAGCATCCTTATTCTGCGTTATTTCATCACACATTGTAGAATCTTTCGCCTGCATGCATTTACACTCTGGTATTTCTACAATTTGTGGCAACGTAAATACTGTTGGCTGTTTAATATTTCCCGCAGCGGTTATTTTGAACATACGTAAACCCAATTGGCCATTTGAGTTGAAACCCCAGGTATAGAGATCGCCGAAGGCGGAAATGGCTGCACTGTGCCAGCCGCCAGCAGCTATAAAACTTATCTGTAAATAAAAAAAGGAAGTATGTGCGAGACTGGAACATTTCAATGATAGCTACTTTAATTCCCNTATATTTTTTAATTATAAGCTTAATTTTAAACAAAACAAATTTCATACAATCCGTTGCCCCAACTATAGATATCACCGTTGGCGCTAAGCAGCAGTGCATGTTCGAACCCACATATCAATTGTCGTACGCGAAAATGCTTTGCAAATTGATGAATTTTGCTGGGCACGCTATAGACTGCATTTGTCGCACTAACAGCCGCTGTGATGTTAGAGCCGCACGCGATGTGGGTGACGATAAAGCATTCTTCTTTATTTACTGTTGACTTCGGTTCGCCGAAAATCGAACGTTTTTGGGTAAACGATTGCACTTCAATTTCAAGCTTCACCTCTTCCAGTTTCGCTTCTATTTCAGGGCGAATTTTAAATAGTTTACCATTTTTACATAGCACCAGACAGAATCTATCACAAGCAGCCAATTGTGTAATGATCTCTGCAGTTTGTACGCATATTGTGGAATTGGGTGTACTAGATAAAAAGCCACGCAGCACGAGCTTATTTTCTGTGGCGTAGGCAGCGTAACTCCAACTGACTGCCATAAGCGAAGTACTTTGTTGTTCGGTCATTAACTTTTCTAAACAGATATCTGAAAATAAAAATATAAAAGCAAAATAGCAGCATAAAAACATAGAAAAAACATCGCACTCTCATTTCTTTACTGCACCTGTAAAAGCGTTTCCGCTTCGCTGACGATTGCGGCCGAACTGGCCAAAGCCATTGAAGCCACTAAAAGCAAACATGGATTT